GTGCCCTCCCTCCCTGTGGATTCCCCCACACGAGCGGCGGGGCCACGGCACAGCTTTGCCGAGGACGGGGCCGTTCCCTCCACTACTGTCTGTCCAGCAGGTTCCAGCAACTCTGGCAACCCACCTAGGGCTGCGAGCACAGCCGGGACAGAGCACCAAGAAGAACATGCTGCTCGGCTTGTCCTGGAACCTACTATCTCAGCTGCCTCCACCCCATGGGCCAGCAAACACCCTGGTCTCTCCCCTACCTCCCGGAACCCAGGGAGCACGCCTCAGCCCGCCCGGGGAACACGGGCCACCCCGCGGGCTCCCCACCCGCCTCCTTCCGAGGGCGGGATTCCGGTCCTGCTGCTGGACGACTCCAGTGAGGAGGAGGAAGAGAGCGGGAAGGAGGAGGTGGAGGCGCCGGCGCGGGATGAGCCCTGCGATTACCACCCCTGCAGGCACCTCCAGACGCCGTGCGCAGAGCTGCAGCGGCGCTGGCGATGCCGGTGCCCCGGCCTCAGCGGGGAAGACACCCTCCCGGACCCCCCCAAGCTGCAGGCGGTGGCCGAGACCACTGACACGTCGGCGCTAGTGCGCTGGTGCGCACCCAACTCGGTGGTGCGCGCCTACCAGATTCGCTACGCGCCCGAGGGCCGGCCGGGGAACCAGTCGGTGGTGGGGGACGTCTGCGCCACCGCGCGCCAGCACGCCCTGCACGGGCTGTCGCCAGCCACCGCCTATCGCGTGTGCGTCCTGGCGGCCAACGGCGCGGGCCTGAGCCGGCGCGGGGCGTGCGCCGCCTTCAGCACCGGGCGCAGCCCAGCGCTCGTCGTGGCCGGGCTGGGTGCCGCGGGCGGCCTGCTGCTAGTCAGCACCGCGCTGCTGGCCGCCGGCCTCTGCCGCCGGGGCCGGACGCCATGCTCCCCGAACCGCCGCACGCATCTGCTGGCCTACCGTAACCCCGCCTTCGCCGCCGAACCCGCGCCGCCGGTCCCGGCCTCGCTCCCGCGGGCGCGCGATCGCTGAGCACCCGCCGCGTGCGCGAGAAGGTGGTACCCGGGTCCCGAACGGCCAGTCGGCCCCGAGCGTTTCTCCCTCGGGCGAGGCCCGCGCTCCTCAGGCACACGTGGCACTCCCCGCGCTGAGTTCCTCATCCCTGGGAACCTCTCTGCCTTCCCTTCCTGCTGCTTCTCTCTGTTCCCAGAAACGTGATGGTTCATGCGGCCGGGCATCCCTGTGTGTGGTTTTACTGGGGTTTTTCAGCAGTCAGTGCCCCTCAGCGTCCGGTCGAATAATTAGAATTGTGTGTGGAAGTAGGAAGAGAGAAAACAAATGGCGCAATGCGGCCGCTTTTCTCATATTGGAAGCGACATCCTCAGGTCATTTCAGAGAAGTTCCCTCATGGTCAAGCTCTGGCTAAGGGTCCTGTTATTAAAGGGAACGACTCAGTGGATTCTCATCACCCCTCCCCCGCCCCACAGTGGATTCTTAACCTGAGAACCGGTTATGTTCCCTGAGGCTTTGCGGGTTCATTAGTTCATTTCAGGGTACAGTAGCAGGTGTGCTTCTAGCTTTAAACTGCAGTCTTCAGAGAACATCTGTGAAACACAGGGAAGGCTGTCCTTTCAAACTCGGTTTTTGCTGCATTTCACCTATGTGAACTCCTTTTTTAAGAAAGCATAATAATTAATAAGCTCACTTTCAGGAAACTTTTTTTATTTTGCGGTACGCGGGTCTCTCACTGTTGTGGCCTCTCCAGTTGCGGAGCACCGGCTCCGGACGCGCAGGCTCAGCGGCCATGGCTCACGGGCCTAGCCGCTCCGCGGCATGTGGGATCTTCCGGGGCACGAACCCGCGTCCCCTGCATTGGCAGGCTTACTCTCAACCACTGCACCACCAGCGAAGCCCCAGGAAACTTTTTTTTTTTTTAAGAGAGAGAAGAAATAAAAGGAAAACCTCAAGGCTCTGGCAAGAGGCCAAAGCATTTCTCTGCTCAAATTGCATCAAACAAACCTTTTTTGTATGATTCGTATCTGACTGTGGGCTATGTCTCACTACACCTTTTTTTTACTTCTATACAAACTTAGTGGGGAAAGTGACTTTATTAAATTAAAATGGGAGTCATATACCTAGATTTTAATTTTCTACGTTAGCATTTATGTAAGTTTCCTGTGGCCACCGTAACAGGTTACCACAAACTGGGTGGCTTAAAACAACAGAAGTTAATTCTCCTACAGGTCAGGCCAGAAATCCGCAGTCAAAGTATTAGCAGGGTTGGTTCCTTCTGGAGACTGAAGGAGAACTATTCCACGCCGGCCCCCCTCCCCCCACTGCCCC